CGGGGAATAATTCCCCTCGATTAAAAGAGTCAACATAAGCCTTTTTCATAGCTCAATGCATCAATCTCGATCTCCCATTTCTCCATTGCTTCTTCAACAACTTCTTTAATTTTAATAACCATTGTTTGTAAAAGGTTCATGCCTTTGATGCTTTCTTTAATGAAAGATGTATCATAATGGTCTAACGGTAAGCCTGTTTCTTTCTCTTCTTCTTCTAAAAATTCCTTAAGAATTTCTAACCCATCCTTAACAACATCGCCCTTCCTTTTCTCTTTCTCCTGTTTAACTAACTTGTCGAGCGATAGCCTTTTGTCGTTAGCTACCTTTTTTAATTCTTCGAGAATTTTAAAACCATCGCCCAATTGTTCTTTAACCTTTTGCTCAAACTTCTTGAGCTCATCTGTAAAAAGTATTAACTTTTTAACATCGTTAGAAGCATCCCCGAAGTCTTCATCAGTATTAAGGACATCATTAATGCCCTCAATTTGTTTAACTATAATATGTTTCTTTTCTCTTAAATTATGTTTAAGATTTCCCTCTAATTCAAATTTTAATCCAACTTGAATATCATTCATTCCACTCATTTTTCATCTCCATTTTTAAAATTAGGTTGTTGCTTATTCATTTGTTTTTATTCTCTCTTTATTCTTTGTTTAAATAATTTTTAATTCTTTCTGACTTAAATCTAAAAATCCAAATCGAAACCTTTTATTTCTTCATTTATTGTATTTAAAATATCAATTATCTTCCAAATTAAAATAGTCTATTTCTGTTTTTTAAATTTTTAATTCCAATATTTTTTTGTTAAGGAAATTAGCCATGTCTGAAATTCTTTCTGTTTTTTTCGATATTTTTAATTTTAACCATTTCATCCCAATTTTCTATGACATCTGTAATAACAAAGTGGATAATTCCTCCTCCTACTTTATTAAAATTAACTATTCCTGTGTTTTTATTCCCATTCTTTGTGTACAATTTATACACTTGATAATATCTAAAAAATCCACTCATCAAAACCATTTCTTAACAATTGTTTTAAAAATTGTCTTGTAAATTAATAACTTCAATTTTTTTTTTTTGAGTAACACTTCTCCATTGCTCTAATTCTTTGAGTTTCTCTTCTTTATTAATCAAAATGCACAAGCTCCCTCATTAATGAATAAACTTTAAACATCTTCCCAGACTCAGGATTTCGTTTCATTGATGAACTAATTAATCCTAAATCCCTTAGTTCCTTCATGTTTTGGTAAGGTGAATTAATATGTAATTTATCCGTCGCATCCCTTATCGAGATGCTCCCATTTTTTTTTATATAATTCAATATGCGTTTACTGTCTTGCTTCATTTTATGCTCCTATTGTTTAAAGTAAGGGTAAGGCTTGCTCCCAAAATTTACTGGAATAAATTTTGATAATCGTCCTCCATGAAAATTAGGTAACCCAGCAGTGTTTGGAACACCATTTTTAAATGGAGGTTGATTGCTGGTTATGATGGTAACCATGCCTAATCTTTTAAATCGAAAATCTAAAATATTTTTAAACTCATTAAAAATATTCTCATTAAATTTCACATACTCAAAATCATCAATAACCAAAACATAAGAAGTTCGAGACTTATCAATCAAGGCAGGTCTCTTTTTAAAACCCGCAGAAAATATTTCGTTTTTAAAATCATTCATCGATATAAAAAAAAACTCAAAACCATTCCTTGCCCATGATCGAGTTATCAAGGAAGCTGTAAGGGTTTTACCACTTCCGCTAACCCCATGAAAAAAAACTTTAATATTTTTATCCGAGTTCACATCGTCTGGCTTGGATAATCTTTTAATGACTTTTTGAGCATGAGGGGGAGGAGGTAGCATGTAATCTTTTATATCAAAATTGAGAATTCTATCGCCGATCTCTTCTTTAAGAACCACATCAACCCTATTTTTTTTTTCATCCTGCTTTTTTAAATCAATCCGCCTTTTTTCCTCATCCTCTTTAATTTCTTTACAAGTCAAGCAATAGGGAGCCGTTTTGAAAGACGGACATACGAACTGCCTCATTTTACCTCCACATGTACCGCATGGATCGGGTAGAGTCACTACCTTTCTTTCAACTTGATCTGTGACTACTTCCATTTTTTAATCAAACTCCACTATTCCTTTTTGAAGAGGGGGAGCTCCAGTTTCGGATTCTGGAGCTCCCGATTGATTGCCCGCGTTGTCGGTAGAATCCCCACTCCCACCAACACGAGCTGTGGGGATCTTGTCAGGGTCTCCCTCCCAAGATAAATCATGGTGGGACTGATCCGTGGAGTCCACGCTACTTTTTTTCTCCGACAGACCAGCCCCATTGCTTGGAGGCTCAGTGTTTTTAAGAAAATCGGATTGTTGAGCTTTTTTTGAAAATTCCTGTAATAGCTTTTCTTTATTAACTCTATAAGAGAGAGTGTGATCGCCACGGTTACTATTATTTTTTTTCGTTTCCAAAAAACCTTGATTAACTAATTTTTCTTTAATACCTCTGATGTGATAATGTCCAAAAAGAAAAATATTTTTTATGTAGCTCTGGGATAGATCGACTAAACCAAGCATCCTCGATGTCTTTGTCTTTATTAAAAAAATGGATTTGTTGCAAAAAAATAGCTTCCCGATCTCCAACCAAGCAAGCAAGCTCTGGCTGAAAAGCAATTGTTCGGGTTTCGTCTAATAGCTTTTTAGACATCGCTCCACTCCTTTATATCTTTTTTATTGATTATTAAAACTTCACATATTTTTTTTTAAAATGTTTCTTCCTTTTCCTTCAAAATTAAAACTATGTTGTAATTATAAGAAAAATCAAATTTATTTTTTTCTAATAAAACCAGAAAGGGTTTCAAGAATTATGTCTAAAAATAATTATTTTTCACATTTCAATTTTTGAAATAGTTATTTTTTAATTAAATAAATATTTTTAAATATCTTTATTAAATAAATATAACATGTTAATGAAAAAATTTTAATAAAATTATTAAAAATATTAAATATTTTAATAAAATATGATAAAATTACAGATAAAAATTAAATTTTTTTAGAAAAAACTCACAATTTGGAGGTAAAAAATGGGAAAAAAATTAAGTTTGGATGAAAAAATATCGAAAGTTAGAGAGAGAACAATTAATAGTAAATTTAAACAACTAAAAATTAGAGGAGTTACATAATGGATAATTCTATAAAGAAAAAAAAATGGTATAAAACATGGTTATAAATTTTTTATTTTTTTTGACTCCAATTGGATTGTTTTTCATTTTTTACCTTTTTAGGCTATTTAAAGTGTGAAGATCATCCTGGAATATAAACTTCAGACAAAAACAAAAACATAACCAACTTTTAGAAGAATATGGAAACTACACAAAATTATAAGAGGAAATCTGAAAGTTAAAAAATGAAATTGTAACAAGTTTGCTATAATCCCAATTTACCAACAAAGTCTTGCATGGATCAAATATTCGCCAATTCAAAAAAGCCCAGATTTAAAAGTTAAAGAAGTTCTTGGTTGGTGTGAAGTTATTAAGTATATTGATTTTAAAACAAAACCTTATAAATTCAATCAGAAAAAAAAAAATATTTAGTAAAAAAAAGTTTTTTCAGTTTTCAGCATCTAAATGGAATCTGAACAGCATCATCCAGAATTACATTCGAACGAGTCTGATATTGCATTAAAAAAAATACTATGAACGACCCTGATTCCTATGAACATGTTGAAACTCGTTATAAGATTTTATATGATAAAAACCAAATCTATATTTTCACAAAATTGGAAACCTTTCTCAATCATATTCGGAGGCAAAGATACCCTCTTTTTTTTTTAGGAAAAAACAAAATATCGAACTATTGTTAACAAAATGGTAATATAAAATGCAATTGGTCAATTCGAATAAGTTATGCCCTTTACATCGCAAATTTAAATTAGTATACCTAAAAGAGAATATAATATAGAAAAAATTTAATAATTTTTAGGAGTATTTATTTATGACTGATTCTATAAAGAAAAAAAATTGGTATAAAACATGGTGGGGAATTACTTTTTTAATTGTTTCATTTGGCTATTTTTTAAGTCTTCTCACTTCAGATGAATATCAAGAATCAATAGCAACAAAATATCAAAACTACAATTTTGAAGATTATCAAAATAAATCTGAAGATGAAAAATTGATTATTGTAAAATCATTATTAGATAATCCTAATTTACCAACCGAGCAAATTATTTTTTGTTTAAATAGATTATCCGAAACAAAAATTATTCTAAAATTAAATGAAGTAATTTGGTGCGAAAACTATAAAAATAATTATAATGATTTTCGAGATAGAAATAAAAAATATTTAATTAAGAAAAAGTTTTTAGAGCAATTTTCAGCATGGGATGGGTCGCATTTTGCAGTAAAATGGCATAAAAATAGATGCACGATCCCGATTCGTACGAACATGTTGAAACCAAGTATAAAATTTTATATGAAAAAAAGCAAATTTACATTTCTACAAAGGTTCGTGGAAAAAATTTGTTTGGCGGTAAAGTTTTAAATTCCTATCATGCAATTGTTGATGAGAATGGACTTTTAATTGAAATAAGTGAAAAATAAAGCAATTTCATATGATCAAAATGAGCATATCGATATGATCAAAATGGCATATATCGATATGATATGATCAAAATGTATATGTAGAGGAAATGACAAAATCCGCAAATGTAGATATGATCAAAAAGCATATCACTATATAAGTAAGAGTATTAAGAGTATTTATTTGGATTAAGAGTATAAGAGGAAATGACAAAAAAACAAAAACAAATTGAACGTTTAAAAGATTTTATCAAAAATAAAAAATTAAATCAAAATAAGTTAGCAAATGGAATTGGAGTTCAAACCACCTTAACAGATTTATAAAGATACTCGCTGGAAATCAAAAATTAGAAATTTATTTTGTCTTTAAAACAGAATTTTCATTAAACCCCGATTGGCTTCTCAATGGTAAAGACCCAATGTATTTACCGCATGTGAACAAATATGAAGACTCACGACAGGAAGCAATAAATCAGGCTTATGAATTCGTTAAAGATGAAGGAAAGGAAAAGATACACGATGTAGCTATAAAAGAGCGTGAGAGCGAGGAAAACCGTCAAAAACAAGAAAAGAAAAACAAAAAGGAGTTCACTTTTAAAGAAGAAGACCTAATCCCAGCTCCTTTAGTGCCTATTTTAGGAATAGTGCCAGCAGGTGCTCCGAAAATAGTGATGAGAGACGAACCCACAGAATATTATCCAGCTACCATTTTCCCGAAAGAAAAACAAAATCATTTTTGGGTTAAAGTTTCAGGAGACTCCATGGTTGATTGTGGGATCAATGATGGAGATATGGTGCTTATAGAAAAAAAATCCGATGTGCCAAATAATAAGGTTTGCGTTGTTAAGATTGACGACGAGGTTACTTTAAAAATATTTCGTTACAATCAAAAAACAAAAACGGTTACCTTAACCCCCTGTAATCCAGATTACCCAATCACCACTCACAAAGCTAATACGGTTGAGGTTTTAGGTATTAAAAAGTTAACAATAAATATAAATTAAAACTTTCTATATTTTATCAATTTTTAAAATATTGTTTCCTGATAAGCTCTTTTTTTTTCCTCCATCATCAGGAAAGAACCACCCCCCCTTAACTGTGCCAGTCTTAGTGAATTGCTTTTTTGTTTGATGATTTCGGTAAGCTCCCACCCACTCATTATAAATAATTTTAGCCTTAAATGCCTCCTTGACTACTTCAGAATTTTCTTTATTAATTTCCCTTAGTAAACGACGATTAATAAAAATATCTCCAATTTCATAAAAATATGTTTCATTATAATTTTTAGACGTGTGATGCCATTCTTGATTTTTAGTGCCTACTATTTCTTGAAATTCTTTTGAACTTATATTTTTTAAAAAAATAATTCTTTTTTTCCAATACGAAAAAGGGAAGCGTCCCTCTTTTTTAGCTAAAAGAGAATTATTGCTCTCAGAGAATCCTGAATAACCTGCCATTTTTAACTCCTATAGATGTTTTTCTAATTTTTTTAAAAAAGCTGAATTGATGGAAACAGAATTATAAAAATATTGTTCACTAATTCCCATTTTTACACATAAATTTTTAACCGATCCATATTCCAACTTTATAAAATTGAATAAATATTTTTTATCCTCTTCAAAATTATTTTGGAAATCATGCATTCTTTTAAAGATATTTTCAATTTTTTTATTCATTTTCGTTATTCTCCATACAGTACCTCAACGCCTTTGCCCACTGTAAAGGGAAAGTGTCATCGTTTTTTAAAGTTCCAACTTGACTGAATTCCCAACAGGAGAAATCACCAAACCCAACCTCCACATCATCTTCGTCTTTGTAGAAATTCCAGAAATCAATTAAATTTTGATCTTCCAAAGAAATATATTTTATATCGATGACCTCTTTATTTTTAATAATTGAGAGCCCCCGACCCGATCCATTATATTTATTTTTTAATTCGTCTTTTATTAAAAAGACATTTATATAATTTATTTTTTCCATTTTTAAATATTTAATTCAGATTTAAATTCTTCAAGCCTTTTGTCAAATCCAGCTTTAAAATCTGGAACCATCGCCTCTCTCATTTTCTCAAGACCAAATTTATTAATAATATCAGATACTGCAGAATACTCTTTATTTTTAAAAAGTCTGAAAACTTTTTGCAAACTTTGATTAAATTCTTTTTGAAAAGCCTCCTCCTCTTCTTTAATTTTTTTATTTTTTTCTCTGGCATCTCTTGCTTTCAAAGCCTTCTCACTGTATTTTTCTTTTTCACTTTTAACAATTTCAGCATTAAAATCAATGGAAATTGAACCTTTCCAATTTTTCGTTGACTTCTTTACATTTTTGTAAAAAAAGCCAATTAGGAATTGAAAAAATCCCGTCAACCTCCATTATTTGAGATTTTGGCAAGCAAACTGAATTTTTAAAAGTTTTATTTAAGTTATGATGTTCTACGATCACATTTAAAAAAATTGATTTTTCAGTTTCACCAGTTTTGTTTTGAATGTTTATTATTTTGTTTTCCATTTTTTTTACCTCCAAAGTTTTAAAAATGTTTTTGTTTTTCATATAATAATTATAACATACAATAGATAAAAGTCAATATAATTTTATATATTTAATATAAAATATTGAATTTTAATGTATTTTTACCTATTTTTTGCTAAAAAACTGAAAAAAACGATAATTTTTATGAAAAAAAATTAAAATTATTATTATTTTTAATAGTATAATTTCTTTAATTATATTAAAAAATAATGGATAAAATGAGTATTATTTGGAGCTTAATTTTGTTTTTAATTGTGCTCTTAACTATTTGCTGGAAAACTAAAGGAAAGTTTTATATAATTCAAGAAGAGGAAGAAAAATTCCACCAGAAAATGGAAAAGAAGATTTTAAAATCACCCCCCACATAACCCCGACCAAGTTTTGTTGTAAATAAGAATCTGCCTTTTAGTTTCATCACTTAAAATATCAGTTTCACCTTTTTTTAAATAAATAGCCTGTAGAGACGAACAAGATATAGCCCCCCCTGTGCTGGAGCAACCCATTATAAAAATAAATCCTACTAATAAAATTACCTTTCCCATTTTTCTAACTCCTTTTCAAGCTCCTCATTACTCATGCCTGATACCTTATTTCGTATGGAAACACTCTTTGTATCCACGCCTTTATATTTATCAAAACTCCTCAGAGCTCCAACCCCAAGCATAGCCATTACAAGATTAATCAAAAGGGATGTTTCAATAGTAGGTAAATCGGCAGAGTACCCCAAGTACGAAAGTACGAATATCGATATAGGTTTTAAAAAAAACTCCCAACTCAAAGCTAAAGCCCCAATCCATCCTATCATAGGTCGCCATCCAGCAATAAATAATGATGAATGCTTAGCTTCTTGAATATTCAAATCTACTTGATTCTTGTTTTGCTTAGCCATTAGTTTTGAAAACTCCAAATCCAACTTCATTCTCTCTTCATCGCTTGTGTGTAGTTCATCGATTGTATTAGTTATCTTACCAACAATGCCATCAACCCCTTTTATTGCTTGATCAATCATAATTAAACTCCCAAATACCGCCTAACCCAGCCATAAAAAAACTTTCTTTGATTAGAATTTTTTCTTACTATCAAAGCCTGCCTTGTGATCTTTGCTACTGCAAACTCAGACACTATAAGTCTTTGACCATAATCATTGTTAGAAATATTATTTATTGCACTTATCGACTGACCACCAATAACCCCGTCAACTTTAATATCAACAATCAATTGAAGTATTTTTGAAGCCGTTCTAACACCCATATTAACTGCCGTATCAAAAAAAATATTTGCTATTTCTTGGTCATCAATTCTATCGCCACCAACTTTTCCCCAATAATTCTCACGATAAAAATCTTTGACCAACTCTCGAGCTTCATTTTCTCTACCAGCCCTTAACCTTTGCCATCCGAGCCAATCAGGATGATGAACACTACTGATCCCAGCATAAGTCCTACCCCCACGGTCTCCCTTGACATGGTGGTCTACATACCCACCCTCATTTTTTAAAGTTATTTTAAAAGCTATGTCAAAATTAGCCATTTTTATTCCTTTATTTTTTCAATTTCTTTTAAAATTCGATCTTTAAATTTCCCACTTTTTGTTCTACATGCTCAATAGTTTCTATTTTACTTTGAAGTATGAGTAGTTCCTCCTCCAATTTAGCTTTGTCAATCGAAGTTCCAATCGTTGACCATATTGAACCAAATAATGACATTAAAATCACAGCCCCTAATCCAACTAACCATCGAGTAAACCTCGATCTTTCAGCAAATTCATTTTTCATAGAATCTTGAATTAAATACTTCGTTTCAAGAACATTGCCATCCTTCATATTTCCATACCCAGTTATGCGCTCACCTTGTTTAACGATCGTATTTGTTAACTCGTTAACGGCTGATGTCAACTTTGTTAAACTTTCTTTTATGTAACCTATGTCTTTGCCTTGAGACTCTGTATCGTGTTCAAGTTTGATTATTCGTTCTTTAGTATCTTCTTCCATTTATTCTTGAACCTCTTCAGCTATAATTTTTAAATCTCGATTATTATCCTCGACTGTCGCTTTTATGCTATCAATTTTCCCAGTTCTTGTATGAATTTCATTTAATTTAGTTTTTTCATCTGATGTCAAGCCACCACCAGCTCCTGTAGTTGCTTTAAATTCATCTTTTGTACTCTGATCCAAACCACTCATCGAACTTTCAAAATTCCCAGTTGTCAAGGTATTTGTTGGTATGGCTCCTAGTAGTGTTGTGACTCTATTTTCAAATGCTTGAATTATTTGCCCAACTTCATTAGTAAAACTTGTGAACTCATTATCTAAGCCCGCAACCAAAACATAATCATCTTCAGTTACTATAGGATCGCCTGCTTCTCCATCGCCTTTGACATATCGAAACTTAACCGTTTTGGTAGGATCTGCCACATAAGAATAAATATTAGAAAAAAGTTCAGTCCAAGTGACACCACCATCCGTACTTACAAATAATTTATTTCCACTTGGAGTCAAGTTTGCACCTAAAATAATTACCGCACTGTTTCTTGTACTGTCAGCATAAGTCCCCGATATGGTCTCACTCCCCGCTACTGAGACAGTGCCAGTTGTAGTTAAGTTAGACGCATCAAAATTTGAAGATTTTATAGTAATGGTATTACCACTAATAGAAAAAATATTTGTTGCAGTATTGTCAATAACTAAATTAAAATTCCCCAAGTCATATAAATTATTTTTGTACTCAATAATATCTTTAAAAGTCTTATAATCATTTATTTTTTTAAATGCAATATAATCATATAATTGTTGAACATTATTAATGCTTGTATAAGACGAAACGGTCGCACTGTCGGCTTCAGTAATAGCTGGATCTGTTGTTAACAACTCTGTCCTTGATAATTTACTCGATCCTAATAACGATAAATTTAAAACTTTAACAACATAGCCATATTTCAATAAAATAATGTCCGTTGTAAAAGTATCATCATCTGTTTTAGTTCGTCTGTCTGTGATTACAGGATTATCTCTACCATAAAATTTAGTGTAAATAGCCATAGTATGATCAAACTCTGTTCCAAAATCCACCAACGAATCTCTATCGGTAGTCCAATTTTCTTTAGCCCATGTCCAAGCCCTTTCTTCTGTAAAATTTACCCTTGAACCATTGTCAAAATCCTCAATGAATATTTTACCTCCAGTCAAAACTGCCCTTGTAGTTTCATCAAGACATGATATATCTATTTTTTGAATTAATTTATGAAATGCCCAGTGTGCCATGTTCTCTGTATTAAATATAGGAGCATGAGACCAACTCTCCGCTAAAAATGGCGATCCCCATAAAGGTAGACCGTATGTATTTGAGGAGTCTACCTCGACACCCTTAGCTACATAGTAACCCAACTTATTCACCTCTGGTGTCGAAGAAGACGAAGCATTAAATAAACTCTTACTCGCTATAACAGAATTATTTTCAACAACATTGTCAACATGGTCGGATCTGAAAGTAATCCCCATGCCAATTAAAGTATTATTTTTTAAAATGACATCATTACTTGCTATGTTTATAGTTCCTGTCAAGGGACGCTTACAAACAAACTTACAGCCTTGGACATTAACTGACGAACCATCAGCAAAATAGATCATGTAACCATCTCCAATAATTCCTATATTATTTAATGTTATGCTTCCTCCAGCTTCAACATATATCAAACAATGCGTGTAGTAATCTGTATTTTGACTACTCAAAATTCCAGTAGTGCCAGTAAAATAATTTGTAGAGTTTGCTGATTTTTGAGATGAAATCG